AATATCATTTCCAATTTCCCTTTTTTTTTTTTTTTTTTTTTTTCCCCCTCCTCCCCCTCATCCCTGGGATGAAAAGAAAGGCAGCGATGGCGTGAATTGAATCGCTTTGTACAGGAGGGAAGAAAGGCAGAAATGCTGCCTGTAAATAATCCTGCATTGGCGGCAGGGAAAGAGAAGTCACAGGAACAACATTTTCTGTGGTTGATTCTGTTTTTTTCAAGCATCCAGAGACCCAAAATGTCCTAAATTGTGCTGTGAAATAGCCATAGTTGAGACATTCTTCAGCACATTCACGGAATCAGAATCAGGGAATGGTTTGGCTTGGGAGGGACCTTAAAGAGCGTCTCGTTCCGTGGGCAGGGACACCTTCCACTAGCACAGGCTGCTCCAACCTGGCCTTGGACACTTCCAGGGATCCAGGGGCAGCCACAGCTTCTCTGCCCAACCTGTGCCAGGGCCTCCCCACCCTCCCAGCCAGCAATTCCTTCCCAATATCCCATCTAAATTTTCACTTTTCCACTCTGAAGCCATTCCCTGTGTGCTGTCCCTCCATACCTTGTCCCCAGTCCCTCTCCAGCTCTCCTGGAGCCCCTTTAGGCCCTGCCAGGGGCTCTCAGCTCTCCCTGGAACCTTCTCTCCTCCAGGCTGAGCACCCCACCTCCCTCATCATCACTTCTTCAGGCAATTTTACATTAATGGCACAAATATTATGTCTACTATTAGGAATTATTTGAGTTTGGAGAGCGGTTTGTCCCGTTCCCCCTTGTGGCAAATAATTTGGCTTTTATTTTCCTAAAATCCCAGTAATTTCCAGCACAAATAGGGGGGATTTAAACTGTGATAAACTGTCTGTAAATCTGGTTGTTAGAGCTAAACAAGAGGTGTTACTTCAGTTGGTTTCTTGCTGGAGTCAACAAGAGAAGAAATTTCTGCAGATTTTCTCCCTGGGTTGGTGGCACTGATTTTCCTCGGTGAGATGTGAACCTCAAGTTGGTTTTAATGAGTTCAGAGCATTTGTAGATGAAAGAATGGAGCCTTAAATAACTATATTGTTGCACTTAAATGCTTAAGGTGAACTCAGGCCTTAGTAGGCTGAGAGGTGACTGGACCCACTTTGGTCCCAAACTGTTCTCTGGAGTTTAATCCCAACTTTCTTTCCTCTTGAAGCACAAACTTAATGGAAAGCACGTCCTGGTATGGAATCATCCCAGTTTGTTTTGTCAAAATTCCTATCAATCACGGCAATATTTTTTTGAATTTGAAGCACCACCTGTCACTGCAACATCACTGGGGCTCAAATTGCTTTCCCTTTCCTCCCAAATATTTCGGGGCCAAGTCATTTGCCATCAACTGCTTTGCAGTGTGTGAGCTCTGATTTCCAACCCAGGGCAATTTTTGGGATGTTTTTTGGCCAATCAGAGGCGGCCAAATTGGCTTCCTGGCTTCGTGTTGTATGTTAATCAAATGATAAAGAAAGTAAAGCTCTTAATTGTGAATTTTTATCAGTCCACACAGCTATTCCTGTTCATCTGGAAAGCAGGTGGATTGTTTTGATCCTTCAGATGATGAGAAAGCGGGATGGGGGGGTGGGGGCTGTGCTTTCCCAGGTATCTGTTCAGATCAGATAAACACAAGCTTTGTAATATTCTTTGGGATTAACACAATTAATTATCTGATTTAACTACTTAGGGGTACTCCATAATTCGTAAGGATATAAAATATCCCTGAAAGGCAGGTATGGCTTGGGAAGAGTGGCTGGAAAGCTGGAAAAGGAGCTGGTTGGTAGTGGCTGAATGTGAGTGCAGGTGGAGGTTTAGGTTGGATATTGGGGAAAATTCCTTCCTGGAAAGTGTTGTCTATCCCTGGCACAGCTGCCCAGGGTAGGGGTGGATCCCCATCCCTGGAGGGATTTCAAATCCCTGTGGATGTGCCACTTGGGGACAGGGGTCAGTGGTGGCCTTGGCAGTGCTGGGGGATGGTTGGACTCGATCTTGGAGGGCTTTTCCAACCCCAGCAATTTTGGGATCCACATGAAAGTGGTGATTTGCCTTTGCAGCTGAGCTGAGGTTCCGCCCCATTCCGGGAGAAGTTTCTCCTCATCCCCTCGTTGTTGGGCAGTGTTGATGGTGTTTGTTGGGCAGTGTTGATGGTGGAGAATTCCAACAAGCTGGGAAAGCCACCACGGGAAAGCATTTGTAGGGCTTTGTGTGAGAGAAACCAAATTTTACCTTTTTTAAAAATTATTATTTTTTTTTATTTCCCTCCCCCCCTTTTTTCCCCTTTTGTCCCCTTTTTTCCTTTTTCTCCTTTTTTTCTTTTCCCCCTTTTTTCCTTCTTTCCCTTCTTTCCTCTTTTTTTCTCCCTTTTTTCCCTTCTCCCTTTTCCCCCTTTTTTCCCTTTTTCCTTTTTTTCTCTTTTCTCCTTTTTGTCCCTTTTTTTCCTTTTTTCTTCTTTTCTCTTCTCCTTTTTTTCCTCTTTCTCCTTTTCCCCTTCCTTCATTTTTTTCCTTTTTTTCCCTCTTTTATTTCCTTTTTTTCATTTTTTCCTTTTTTCCCTTCTTTTTTCTTTTTTCCCTTTTTCCCTTTTTCCCTTTTTTCCTTTTTTTCCTTTTTCCCTTTTTTCCTTTTTTTCCTTTTTTCCTTTTTTACTTTTTTCCTTTTTTCCTTTTTTTTCCCTTTTCCCCCTTTTTTCTTCGTCCTCTTTTTTCCTTTCCTTTTTCCCTTCTTTTTTTTTTT